AAAATTATATTAAATTGGATATTTACTCTGGTCATGCAATATTATCAAGAACATAATATCTCTCCTTAACAAGCAGGTATTCCCACAAAAGGAGCTAATTACTTATTCATAACTTCCTAATAATTCTGTTCATTAGAGCCAGTATATATCAAACAGTGAACAAATTTGCCATCAATTTTTAATAATGAGTCAAGAGTTCAAAAACTCAAAGCAAAATGAGGAGTGAGAACTGTGAGCAGTATATAAAAATGTAATTTTAATGATATAATTAAGGGGTATCCTTGACATTAAAATTGATTATACATTATAACCATTTTAAACCAGCCTATTTTAAAGACACTTTATATTAATGGGATGTTTTAAAATAGGTCATCTACTATTTTCTTTATATCCTAGAAAGAAATGCATGCATTTCCAAGACTAAGGGAATAACTACATAACATTCATTACTATGTATGAAGTAACTATAACCTAATTAAACTGTAAAACATTAAGTGAAAGCACCATTGAAAAATTCAAGGATAAAATATCATTTTCCCTGGCTTTCAGGTTACAATTCCATTATTTTAACACACTAATGTCCCTAGAATGTATTTTGCAGCACCGAAAGGTCTAACTGCACATCCAATGCTTCAATACTTTCCCACACCGTCTATCCCATTAGACGAATGAGATTATGTATGTGAAAGTACTGTGCTTTTGTCTATTAGAGACATTGGTGATCATTCTTACAGACATTTAGAGATAGGAACTCAGTAGTAATCTCTGGTTTGTTCCATCTTTGATAAGATTTGATTATTTTAAAAATTATTTAAAGCAGAGAATACAGCATGGGTCAGTTGAAATAGAATTTATATCTTCGTAATAAAGTAAACATTGAATAATTATTTAACCAAAACCATAACCACAGTTGAGAGGATGGGGAGACAGAAAATAAGGGAGCACACAGTGGGAAGGGAAAAAGAATGAAAGAACTAAATCTTTATCTTTCCCAAGACCAAAAACCAAGTTTACTGGAAACAAGAAGGTCAAAGCCAAAACAAACAGTGAGCAGTTGAAAGTAACTGCCTCTAAGGAAGAAGAAATGGGGGTGGGAGGAAGATACCAAGGGGACTTATAAAGCCTGTAAGAGTCAGAACCATCTCACTCTTCAAATACTGTACCTTTTTCACTTTGATTTAAAAAGAAAAACTATTACTAGTATATAATCGAATCTTCCATACTACTCATATTAATCCAATCTACCCTGTGGGGCCATAGAAGAATGGACATTTCACATCCACGGAAACTATTAATAAATCGCATTTGTCAGAGACAAGCTGTCCTCATAAAAAGATCTTTAAACTAAAGGGAAGGGAATGTGGGTGGGGAAAAAGAATACGAGCGAAAACAGACTGAAAACAAAGATATAAAAGGCATTTCGTGACTTTATTCCCCTCCAGTGATTAGAAAAGGGAATAAAAAACAATACTTAATACTTCAAAAATCTAAATATCAGAACAAGGTGATGAGTACCTTGGGAGAAATGTGACCTTATTACCTTGGTGTGGCAGTTCATTAGTATGGTTCCAGTTCTCCACTGAAGTATAAGGTGAGATAACACTTAAGTTCCCTCCACTCCCCACCCTCTGGTGAAATTATTTATGGCCACCATGCAACTTACTATGGCCAATAAAGAGTGAAAGTGGCATGTCTCTTTTAGGACACAGTTTTAACAGCTAGCATATGATACGTCATGCTTTAGTCTTCTGTCACAGTCAACAGAAATGTTCAAATGGTGGCTGTTCAGTCAGCATGACCACAGTGCAGAGAACCCCCATCTAATGTGTATACAAGCTCCTTTTGAGCATGTGACAAAAGAAAGAAATAAACCCTGTTTTCTGCCACTGAGATTTCAGGGGTTATTATTGCAGCATAAGCCAGTCTATCTTCACTGGTATACAAACTAGAAGTGAAATACTGCCTTAACAAAAACCCCAAAATACTGGCTTAAGGGCCAAGCAGCACCAAAGTGTTCTGTCTGGGCCTACTCAAGGAAATATTTTTCAGAGACTGGAGATCAACAAGTGATCCACATTAAGGAGTTAAAACATTTGATAAAACTGTCACTACAATAACTTGGAGGTGACATATATCTAATAAATTTATAATGAACCTGTAACCTAGGTTCCTGTGGCTAATTAACTTATTTATAGCCCTAAAAGAAAAGGTTGGAAGACAGAAGATTAGTACTGTGTGATGACTGGCTGTGTTTAACAAGATATTAAAACAAAGATACTCAGAGAAGAACCACCATACAGGAGATTAGATGTTCAAAACTTAAAACAACTCACCCTTCTATGGTCACGAAGCAAGCTGACAAAACTGTTCAGTCATGGAAAGAGGCCATATTCTCCAAAGCCAACTTGAGATGTGGCCAATGATAAAAATGTAAGGACCTCTAACAGGACAAAGCCAAGGACCATGGAGAACTATGCTCTGGGGCACATGCAGAGTAAGAACTATTTGTTACTGGTCTACAATATTGAGATAAATACAGAATTTTAATGTAAATGTTTAGAAGCTTTCCTAGCAATTTCATACAGTAATTTTATATTTGTTGAATCTAATAATTTTA